TTTTCTCGATGCCGTGCTTGTATTCTCTCGATGCTGCGCTTGTATTCTCTCGATGCTGCGCTTGTATTCTCTCGATGCTGCTCTATCCACCACGGACTGCTCCACCCCACATGCTTCGGCCTTCGGCCTGGAGATAAATTATCTGCGGATCGACAATGCTCCGTACTGATTATCATGCATGAGCCCCCACGTCTCGTTGGGCGTGATGCTCCCACCGTGAACAGCTGATCTCTCCCCGCAGCGGTACAGCTTCTTCCTCACCGCGAATCTGAAGGAAGGGCATCACGCTCTTGACGTCTAATCTCAGTATGCTTGACACCCACGTGCGGCCGTAGACAGTGGAATTTGGTTATTACTGTGCCTCACTCCGCTCATGTCTCGCGACAAGCCTCCCCTTCTGAATGTACGTTCCCAGACTCAAGAGTCTCAGGGTCCAGCAGGATCTTGGCACGTCATGAGTCCATCATGCAGCACAAAGCTCCACTCCCCTAACTCTTCACGGATGGAAGCGCAGGCCGAAGCGGATTTGGGATCCTGCCTGGTCTCACGATGTGAACTCACTGCCTGCACACGCAAGTGAGTCAGCACCGTGAATCACGAACCGGCTCCGCCCCAGCCCTGGGCCGTCTTCTGCTGGTGCATCGCGATCGGATCCGCGTGCTGGTGCTGGCTCGGAGAAGGCCGGATGAGCAGCAAAGGGCCGCGCCAAAACATCAGGTTTCAGGTTTTAGCAGCCGAAAGAGGGGACTGTGGAGAATCAGTCCTGCAGGGCTTTGAGATGCACGCTGACTGTCTTGACGACCCTGCGTTTGAGCCATGCTGCGAGCTAATGTAGGGAGCGCGCTCGGTCTCAGCTCGCAAGCCTCGTCTTGGATTGAATATCAGCTGGATGCTTACGAGCACGAGGCTTCGCTACCACAGGACACGAAAGTTCGGACGAGGTGCTGAGCGCTTGGCTTCGGGGAGACGCAGGGTCTGGAAGAGTGACGTCGTTTCGAGGATCACAACACCTACACCCGGACGCTGCATCCTTTGAATGTTGCCTCCGTTGACAACCAGCGAAAATAGCCTCTTCTAGACCACTACTAAAAATTGGCATCCAACATGTCCTCTCTCTGGGACGGGCAGTGTGAGGTAGCTCATTGTCAGCCGCAGAGTCCAACCATGGCGCACACTGACAGACCCGGGGTGGAGGCCCCCACATGCACGTTGCCTGTGGCCGTAGACCGAGGAAGGGATGGAGGCCCTGGACTGAGTTTCCGTCGCCGTCGCCGTCGCCAGAAGGGTCGTGGAAGGGTCAGCGAAGGTCTGCACCGACCGGTGATCAACGGCGAGCGCGGGCTCAGGGCTGCCGGTTGACGTCGAGGGATCCACCCATTGCGAGGCTGTTCTCATGCTCATCACTGTGTGCCCCTCTCCACGGTGATGTGATGCAACCAGTCCAATCTCTGGACCGCGGGTCGTTTCGATACATGAGCGGTGCTCCCGTGACCCCCCACTGCCAAAATTGCTTCTCGCTGTCATCTCGATCAAATCGCCGAAATAGCTCCTGCATCGTCTCTCCTACCGTGAACAGAATAGCTGCCGCCGCACTTCTCGGCAAACCGACTCCGAGCCATCTGCAAGCTCAGAGCGAACCAGAGGGGGTTAACACTGTGCTTTTAGGCTTCGGACTGCCGAAACGACGCAGGCATCCCTCTTTGCACTTTTCCAACTGTCACCAGCATCCTCTTCGCGTGCTCGACGCCGCTGCCTCCACGGTCTCCCACACACTGACAACGGCGCTCAAAATTCGGCGGGCCGACCCTCACCACCTCGTCATCCACTAAGCTCGAATCGAGGATTCCCAGTGAATCGGTTGCGCACGCACACGCTTGGTCCGCAGCAGCAGCACCCAGGTCCCTCTCTAGATCCACGTTTTTGCGACACGTAAAATTTATCCGTCGCGTCCGGCCTCACCTCTGGACCTTGCCTCGCAGCGTCTGCGACCTCGAAAGTCGTGTTGCCTGTCTCACCCGTACCTACTGATTTGGGTTGTTCGCGGGCTGTCGCGCATTTGCAAGCAAGATGCCTAGCTCAGTAAAGGACGAAGACAGGGTTGGTGTGCCCCTCCATTTGCGCTCACGTTGCTCCTTCCCCAGTGCCCCTCCATGCCACGCACGCGCATTCCCATTCCTGGGTTGCACGCTGCACGCTGCAGACTGCACCCACTCCCCACCGCCCGCACTGCGCACACCCTAGAACCCCACCTAACCTCCTGCACAGAGCGTGAACGGCGACGGCGGCATCATGTCGATTCCCGGCGCAGAAGACACCATCGACCCGTCCACCTTCGAGCAGATCCTCGAGATGGATGAGGACGAGGCTGAGCGCGAGTTCTCGCAGAGCATCGTCTACGACTTCTTCACCCAGGCCGAGGGCACCTTTGTGAAGATGGACACCAACCTGTGCGTGTGACGCATCCAGCCCCCTTGATCAGTGCACTGCTGACTGCCTCCCAGCGAGAAGAAGGACCTCAAGACACTTAGCGAGCTTGGCCACTTCCTCAAGGGCTCGTCTGCGACGCTCGGCCTGACCAAGGTCAAGGATTCTTGCGAGAAGATCCAGCACTACGGCCAGCTGAAGGACGAGACGGGCACAAAAGACATTGAGGAGAAGGAGGCGCTGAAGAGCCTGGAGAAAATCATCAGCCAGGCCAAGGACGAGTTCCACGAGGTCGAGAAGGTACTCAAGAAGTTCTACAACGACGACGACGACGACGACGAATGAGCGTCGCCACCCGCTCTCGACGTGCCGCTATCAACTTCACGTTGAGGCACGCCAGGCGCACGGCTGGACATGAACAGCGAGGCAGCATGGACCCACGGGCAGCCGCTGCTCCTCACCCGCCACGGCACGCAGCACCTGCATTGATCGCTGGGATCGGGGATTTCGTGTCCGTGTCGTCATCAGGGGAAGCTCATCTTCATAGCCAGCCTCTGAATTCTGCTTTGCGACTCGGTACCTTGGATACCATAGACTGACAACGTTTTGAAAAGCATTGATTCCCATGTCATCTCGCAGTCCCAATGCCATGGCGTGCATCCCAGCCTTGCGCCGATAGCGCAGTGAATACGTGCGAGGAAGGCCCGAGGCAACGTGCAAGTGGGGTCAGGACCGGTCCGTCGTGATTGGCCCCCATCCTCAACACCAAAGCAATAGCAACATCGTGACACGTGATGAACACACCCATCGAGCGCCCGGCTCCAAGAGCCGCGCTTCCAGCCTTGTCTTGACGTCGGCGTTCCATGGTTACTGCCACTACAGTCACCAAAATACGTCCGCGGTACCTCATGCTCCGCACTCCCATTCTCCGCCAGGCAACCAAGCACTCCCACTCCACCAGATTCATCATGGGCAAGAAAAAGAACAACCTCGCATACAACGACTTCACAGAAGACACCCGATACGTCAAGAACAACGACACCAACATCCAAACCACACTCCACTCCGCATCCCCACTATCCCGCACAATCTCGCACCCATCACCACAGCACCCAAACAGCACACCGAACCCCCGCAACCCCAGGACCAAGCCATTAACCCACTTCCTCGCCCTCCCCCTCGTCACTCCCACGAACCGCCCGCATCTCGCCTCCGCCCTCGCAGACCTGAAAAAAGATGTCCAGCAACTCACCCGCGTGCCCCCCGCCGCCGTCCGGCCTGTCGGCGCCCTGCATCTCACGCTCGGCGTCATGGCACTCTCGGGCGCGCAGCTCAGCAATGTCGTTGCGGTGTTGGAGGGTCTGGATCTCGCCGCGTTGCTGCGCGCAGCGACGACGACGGCGGCGCTAGATCAACACACGCCCACGCCCACGCTCACGCTCACGCTCAGGGGGCTGCTGCCCATGCACCTCCCCCGCGCGACGAGCGTGCTGTATGCCGAGCCCGTGGATGCGACGGGGCGGTTGGTGCGGTTTGGCGAGGGTGTGAGGAGCGCGTTTGAGGAGCGCGGGTGTGTTTGCAGAGACGCGAGGGCGTTGCGGGTGCATGCTACGGTGCTGAATACTGTTTATGCGCGGCCGAAACGCGGGAAGAAGGCTGCGGGTAGTTCTGGAGAAGGGGCTGGTGGGGGGCTGATGCAGGGCGTGGATGGTGGGGTGGAGGAGGCGCAGGCAAGGGGAAGGGATGATCGTGGGGCGGATGCACAGAGCTGGGGGAAATTCGATGCGTCGGGGTTGATTGAGAAGTATAGGGATTTCGTCTGGGCGGAGGATGTGAGGATTGATAGGGTGCAGATATGCAAGATGGGAGCGCAGAAGATTGTGGACGAAGAGACGGGGGAAGTCGTGGACGAGCGGTACGAGATCGTTGCCGAGAAGACGATGTAATCACAAACATCCTTCCTGTCAGTATACATAAACAAACGCTTCATCGCACAGCCATACACTCACCCCCCGCGCTCTAAACTGTCAATCTCCTTCTCCATCCTCCTCGTCTCCCCCTCAAGATACCCTTTCCGCTTCGCCAACTCTCTGATCCCCTTCTCTCCCGCCTGCTCGTACAGCCTCAAGCTCTGCTTCGCCAGCGCCTCTCTATCCCTCAACGCCCTCTCGCCTGCACCCTGACTCTTCCTAAACTCCTTCAGCGCGTGCACAAACTCGGCCGGCGGCGGGTGTCCGAACGTGTGGCACTTGGCCTGCAAGCCGAGAAGCGTGGCGCGCGAGTGCAAAAGCTCGGCGCGCGCTTTGGTGTGGCGCGCTAGGGTACCGTGCTGGGTTTGCTCGAGGATGCGGATCGAGGTTTCGAGCGTCTGTTTGTGTGTGAAGAGCAGGCTTGTGAGCGTGTTTGTGAGGTCTGTGCGCGCGCTGAGAAGATCCTGCGGGAGCGTGAGGGTTGCGGAGGTTAGTAGATCTTCTGCTGCTGCTGGGAGCGAGGACGAGGATGGCACGGCCAGGGGAGAGGCGATGGCGCAGAGGTGGTTGGTGAGTGTTGCGAGTTGCGTGGACGTGGCGGAGGCGATTATGTCGACATTGTCCAGGAACGTGGTTACATCTCCCGAGAGAATGGCACGGTCTGACGGGTCGGGTATCTGGCCTGAAAGGAGTGCGGAGACCAGGTCTATGCACGCTTGGAGGTCGTCTGGCAGAGTTGGTGCACGGGAGGGCAGGGAGGTCAATGTGCTGATGAGTATTTGTGTGCTGAGGAGAGTTGAACGTGCAGTCGTCAGATTCTGGACGTCTGTCAGTAGCTCATCCACTAAAGCATGGTAATCGATGTGACGGCCAAGGACGTTCGGGGTAGTAGTTTCAAAGAAAGAAACAACGTAAACAAAGGTCTAAATCGACTGGAAAGAGGAGAAACGAGAACTTCAGCTGTAAGAAAGCTTCGGAGATAATATCCTGGCTAATTGAGCAAATCATGGAGGTTCTTACACGCCGTATCTCATCGTGCATGCGCTGCTTCTTGGTGTCTCGCGTCGAGCCATCCGGATTCAATTTTCGTGTGCAGATATCTTTGTACAGCGTGTCGAAGTTTGGGTTACGCTGCAGTGTTGCTGGATCGACAGGCGGCAGCATGTCTGCTTGTAGAAGGTTGCGAGGCCGCAATGGTTTGTGGAAAGGAGCTATTGCTCTGTTTACAGTGAAATGGAAGGGGCGACTAGTCCCGAAGAAGCTAGAAATGTTGCTAGAAGCTAAGAGAACATTAAGCACCTGGCCGTTCCTTCGCCCTCTCCTCGTCATCATCCGGTGTGTACCTAGACCCTTAAGTACAAATGGTGCGGATATGCATGGCGTGAGTGCAATGTAAGCCCGATGGATGGCTGTTGCTGAACGGCGTTATGAAGAGGTGGAAACGCTCAAACGGGAGCGATTAATGAATGACTGAGCTTGATCACACACGAACATCATATCTATACAAGTCTCAACTGTTTTAAATACAGGATACTGTGCCAGCTCAAACTAGGTTGTCTCGGAATTGGATAGAATACGGTGATAGCTACAATGTATGATCCGCAGAGCGGTCAGATTGAACTGAGCATCGAATGATCAACTTCGACTTGGTACAAGTATGGCTCGAGTACTGACATCAATCGCTCCTCCAGCTTGTAGACGCTGCTTTTACAGATTCCCACATTTCGTTGTGTTGGCTACATATCCGACCATTGCAGAAAATTGCGGACCAGAATTTACTACTGCTGTCACTCCTGTGGTAGGAATCAGAGTGATGCCTTCGTTCGAATCTCGAGAAATTGTTGGTAGCTGGCGACTCAGCACCATCGAGATGCCGAAGACGAAGGCTGCCCAGCAAGACATCGTACTCAGGCTTTGTCTGGAAGGCATAGCTGCGCCGGAAGCAGCGATTACCACCATCAATGCCGATCGTCACTTACACCTTGAACCGATCGATCCAGACGCGGAGGACTTTCAGCAGATGAAGGAATCGTGCTGTGACCAACTTGCGCACTGGAAGGATTTTCTCAGCTCTCCACAGCGCAAGATTGCTCTTGACCGGGCGGCTGACCAACTGGAAGACATCAAGTATAAGCTGGGAAAAGATGAGTCGTTCAAGTTAGATGCCTCGGGTGAGAATATTTTGCACATTCTTGATTCTTGCTGGCTGAACGACAAGAAGCTCAAGGCTCCTGGCGGCTCCACGTGGACCCACAACTTCCGCTACACGCTTTCTACGTCCAAGAAGTGACAGGTCAATATACAAATGAGCGCCTACATGCTGGTGGCGATACTGAAACTGTATGTAGATGATCCATGCATCTCGGAGTAAGACCGTTGACCTGAAGTCGACGCGGGCGTCCTGGCTGACGTACTTTCAGAACGCGAACTTGAAGCCTCGCATCTGTGTGACTCCGATGCCTGTGGCTCTGGAAGTCACGGGGATTAACCACAGGCACTCATGTTCAGCTTGAGGCACGCTCCTTGGTCCCGGGTCCAATCAGAGAATGAAGCAGGCGGTCTTCAGGGTGCTTGGCTAGCGCCGAGGAAGACCTGATCGAAGGAGCAAACTTGACGAGAGAAAGAGACCGGAGAACAGGCGTAAGGAGTCAAAGATGAAGTGGGAGAAGCATGAAGAGAGGTCGAGCAGTATGACAAGGATATCGAGGCGGCAAGGTGCTTCGCACGCGCTTTCTGTAGCTTTCCCTGAAAATGTCTTGCGATTGCTTGCATGGGTCCCAGGAGCTCGGCATTACTCACGCATTCTCGCAGCTGATCTTGCGGGTCGAACCTGTCAGCAATTTCCTTTCCTCTCTTCAAATCCACCTCCTCAGCGCTACAACAGAGTGTGGGCCCTCAATCGGTGGCTGCTACAGCGACAAACGCCAGTAGTCTCGTGTTCTCCTCCTGCCAAATGTCGGCTATAATCGAGCCAAATAGGTTCGTGGAATCCAGGTATCTTTCACCATCGTACGACGTCTGTGATTCTAGCGTTTCAGCTAGCCTGTCTTACAGCAGTTGTTATCATCGCACTCGTGCACGGTAGTGAGTAGCTGCTCTGCCGACAAGCAATGAAACTGTTGAGGTCTTTCTTTGCTACCTGTTAAAAACAAGCGATATGAAAAGCCTTTTGACGGTTTACGGGAGCGTGGTACCGTTGCTTGTTCTACCGTGTCCGATGCCGTGAAGGAATGAGGCTAACTGTCTGGGCGAAGAGTGTAGCTGTCCACATCGTGAAGCTGAGTCTAATCACCCACTCTTGGTGTTAGCCTTTGATTTACATGCTTTAATCCCTAGCTTGCAGAGCTCGTACGTAAGGCTTTTGTTTGCTTCCTTGACAGCTGTCACGTTGTGAACACCACAGCGCTCTTGCGCTGCTGTGTTCTCAAGTCACTGTTATTGATATCGGAAGACTTAACCTTCCAGCTCAGACTGCATCAAGCAGTTTCATAAAGCCTGTCTTGCACGATTGCGTTACCGGATATGCTGTGAGAACGGGGTGTTGTTGCTGCCTATGTGATAAGTCGCATTCGGGAGGTGCTGCTGCCTGATTGGCCTGGCTGATCTCCGGGAGAGCGATGGACCGTGCCTGATCACATGATACTAGCGCGCCAAGCTGCTGCCTGTGCGCCGCTGCGGTTTAAAAACTCGCAGTCCTCCGGCCCTTTCCTCCTCCTGCATCCAAGTGCTAGGGCTTTACGCTTACCAGTGAAGATTCGTCTGAGGTAGCGTTTTTGCTAGTTGAAAACTACAACTATGACTGCTCCAGTTGGTCTTCGGATCGGCTGGGAATTTTTGTATCCCATTACTGCTGTCAGTTACTTTTCATTGATCCCCGTGGCATGCCGCGAGATTGAGGAAGAACGAATTCACAGTCATCACCACATCTGGATGTTGACGTCCGCCCACCGATGCCGTTAAGGCCGCGAACCGCCTCAGCGCGACGACGATGCCTTCATTAGAAGCGGTGTCAAGCTCAGCCGCGCCTGGGTCAGTACCACGCAACGCGAGCAACATCAGCGCAACGACGATTCCCCATCGATAGCTGCGAAGCTGCGCTCCGCCAACGATCTCGACGCGCCGTGCGGCCGCGCCCCGCCCCACATCTTGAACTGCCCACAGCATGCAATGAAGCGCTCGCGATCACAAAATCCCCTCGCGCGATGAACAGCCACGCTTGCGGTATTAACGACAGGCGCGTCTTCGGCAGCAGAGGCACCGCGATTGTGATGTAGTCTTGGGAAGCGCGCCTGTCTGCCACTGCCGGCAACAACAAACACTGCAACCAGGTAAGCGCGCACTTCCTGAGCGGCGTCTGTACTCCCGAGCATGCTGTTACGCAACACAGCCAATGTGAAGCTTCCTTAACGCTTAGACTGCATCACAGAGCGGCACAGGAAGCAACAGCATACCCCGCAGTCCGCCAATGAGCGGGACGAGAGGCCCTGATGCTATCATGTTTGATCCAGTTCGACAGATTCAGGACTTGTGAGCGGTGGTGAAGATCCATAACGTCCTGGTAGGCTCCCCGACAACGAGACTCGGCATTGCATCTGACACAGCCGTGGAAGTCAGCCATGACAGATGCATCACCGTTACCAACCGACTGATGCTCTGTTGCTGAACGAACCGAGAAATTTCTTGTGGCCTTGTATTGACAGCTTACTATTACGCCACGCGATCCCGATTCTCGCCCTGCCATCCATCATTCTTTTTGAAGTTACAGTTGGAGATCAATTAGCGAACCCTCCTTCCGACGAATCTCCACTAGTAAGCCTAAAGCCCTAGCACTTGGATGCAGGAGGCGGACAGGGCCGGAGGACTGCGAGGCGCTCGCGACCCAGGTTCATTGACGCTCCGCACTTCCCACGACCAACCTTCAGGCTACATGAGATTGATCGATCGAGCCCCGCGAAAGCCTGGCACCGCGCACAGAGACGTCATAAAAAGCGATGGAAACCGACGAGGCACGAGCGATGCTCGGGGTACCGGGCAGAGCTACAGCGCATTGACATGCTGGACGGAAGGATCGATCCACGTCCAGGATTCGATCCTGATTGCTGGGAGCATAAGGATGGCTGCGGTAGACACGTGGTACTCGTCGCATCCAGGAATCGTTGTGGCTGAGAGTCGTTTGAACGTTCCGTCTTCGCATGATGCCTGACATGGCTATCGACCTTCCCTCGCATCTACCGCATCTCTGCAGACGTACACCAGGATATTTTCTCGTCTTTCAAATTCAGGCAGCAACACCGCTCCCTTTTGATGGTGGCATACGCGACACGTGTACTGGAGCATGATATTGATGCGACGTCAAGTGGCTGTCCCGGTTCCGGCTTGTCGAGATCCCCTCTGGGGCCTCTGGTGCCTCTGGTGCCTCTGGTGCAGTTCAAGGGCGTGGAAACGATCAGCGCAGTCGTACGATGCGGGAACTACTGGCCCAGACCCACAACGAGCCTCATCGCTGCAAGATCGCTGAGAGCCAGGATCCATTAGCTAGGATACCCCATTAGCTTTGGTGTCTGGTGCTTGCGTGGGCGGCATCTGGTTCCTGCCTTCTCAACTATAAAGGGGGGTAATATGCACGTGCGTCACGGAATGACGGGCTCGAGCAGTCGCAAAAGCTCAGAAACGGGGCATTCAGAATTTGGACGAAGCGAGCCTACCAGGATGTTGGAAATTGTTATGCCATAACGCAATGCTGTAACCTTCTACTTCACCGCGGGGCAGAGGCGGTATTGAGTTGCTGCTGGTCAGAACATTACTCGTTCCAATCCACATTCCGCACTTGCAGGAACCCTGATACTCTTTAAATCTTCTGGCCAGGAAGCTTGACCTGGCTTGGATCTGCCCTGTACACACAAGGTTTGCTAACTTGCGGACGGCGGGAAGCTTAGGAGGAGCAATCTCTGGGGCGATTATTGACGCTGCATGCGCGACCACCTGATGCTGTCCCAGTAAATAGAGATGCAGTACTCGGACCTACTCGAACCCAAATACTCGAACCCAAATACTCGAACCCAAATATTCGAACCCAGTTACTCGAACCCAAATACTCGAACCTAATTACTCGAATACACAGTACTTACGTATTCTTCGCTCGGTGTGGTCTATTTTCAATTGCGACACTTCTCAAAGAAGAACCTGCATTGGCTTCCATAGTTCTTCTCTCGTATTCGCGTGGCGTTAGCAAGGCACCGGCTTGTCAGAGGATGCGAAGAATACTGCCAGAGCAACCATTGATTACAAAGGCTTGCTTCTAAGACTGGCATGAGCCTTTCTAGAATGTTGTATGTTGGAGCGCCCGCCTTCGCCCCTCCGCCCTATATTGGCCGTGTTGAGACCGGCCAGAGGAGCAGCAGGTTACCCGAAACGTAAGGGGTTCGACACCTGGCTCGTCTCCTACGATTGATAGACCAACGTGTAGGTCCATCTGCATCGCAGACATACGATCTCCGTCGCCATGGTCGTATAATTTCCAGATGCCGTCACAGCAAGGGCATCTTACTGCCTGCAACGCTTGTGGAGGTTCGGAGGTAGATAAATGCTAGAAACTGAGTCGCGCTGCAGCCGAAGGTAGCGTTTCAAATTGGTGGGATATGTTTGACGCCCGCTTTTAGATCAAGTTACTTTCGCGCACGGGTCTTTTTCGGCTATGATCTGCATCAGGGACTCTAGCGTAGTCGCGCACTCCCGAACCAACTCCTGCCCACCACCAGTGTTTGATCACCGCCTAGGTTACCATGACACCAAATGCCTCAGCCTGTAATCGTTGAATGGACAGGGCTGATATGGGGGTGGGGCATCTGCATCATTATTGTGACAATGCAGACGCAGGAGATGGGAAGAGCATTCCGGCACATGACTGCACGTAACCTTCGACCGGTCCCTGTCAGAAGCTGCACCTAGGCCTCTGACATGCGACGCCACAGCCTTGATTCAGTGCCTCAGCCAAGTTCAGGGCCCAGAGGCTAGCCTTACAAGGCTGCTGCAGTGGTTGCCACGAGACTTGCACTAGGGCTATAGTCGCGACATTATACCCCCTCAGCACCTACCGCTGCTAGCAGTTCACTGCCGCTCTCGGCTCCTCTCCAATCACGACGATGCAGCGACATGGGTCCTTTCCTCTTCCTGCATGTGTTCTGCGACCATTGTCACGCACATGGCAATAGTCGCTGCAGAAACGTGGTCTGCTGTGGAGGCGCTCGAACCCTCGACATCTCCGCGTTCCATTATGGTACATGTGTCTGCAGGCTAACAGTGAAGGCACTACGATTTCACCAATGGAGGCAGCGGCGAGCCCACGATTCGTGCGCCAGGAGTACACTCGCGTTTCCACCATGGCAGCCATCTTATCCCGCCATTTTCCCTCTGGGCTTGCCTTAGTCCACCGTCTACCTGGACTCGCCCTGCATCTTTACTCCCCTCACCTCAGGCCTCCTATCAACGGTCTCGGAAGAACTATCATGAATTGAAGTGGGGTGACATACTGGAGGTTCGCTGTACTTTTTCCTCCTGGTCGAATTCACACACCGACCGCAATGCTCGAAGACGCTTCGCCTGCTGGCATCCGGGTGAACACGATTGTTCTTGCGTTTACCCTCGTTGCCGGAACCGTTGTCTTTCTGCGATTATTCACAAGGCTGGTAATCACAAGGGGAGCTGGCTTTGAAGATGTCTGCATTGCTGCTGCTATGGTATGTTGCGACTCACAGATCCTGTCGGGACTATATTGACCAACAAAGGTGCTGTCCATTGCCTTGGCTGTGGTTACTTCAGAGCAGGTCATGCACGGTCTTGGAAAGCACACCAATGAACTCCATGCTGAAGATGTCACGATGACATTGAAGGTGAGCACAATTCTCTATTGAAGCTATTGATTCGACCATGTGATCGATTTCAGCAGGACTGACTTGGTGAACAGATGTTCTGGGCTAGTCTCTGGATCTACAACCTTGCACTTACTACCATCAAGGTAGCCATCCTTATCCAGTACATACGAATCTTTCCCATACGCCACTTTCGTTGCGCATGCTATGCTGTGCTGTGCATGGTCATTGCATGTGCCGCCTGGGGTATCTTTGGTAATGTCTTTTTATGCTATCCTGTCAACTTCTTCTGGGACAAGTCCGTACAGAATGGGCGCTGCATGAGCGATTACATCATTTGGTTCACAACGGCGGGCTTGAACATCGGGCAAGATGTGGTCATTTTGTTCCTCCCCATCCGCGTCATCAGGAGACTCCAGATCAGCAGAAGACAGAAGAAGGGCCTAATCACCATGTTCGCACTAGGAGCCAGGTGAGCTCATACCTTTTTCTTCCAGCTTCGCTAGGCTCACAGTAAGAACAGCGTCATCGTAGTCTCAACAGTTCGGCTGTACTCACTAGACAACCTCGCGGACTCGAACGACCAGACATTCGACAACTCGGACCAAGCCACACTTTCTGGCGTCGAAGTCAACGTAGGTATCATCTGCGCCTGCCTCCCAGCCATGCGTCCTCTATTTGCCGTAATGATGCCCAAATACTTCTCCTCCGCAACCGCCTACACCACAGTCCCCGTCAGCGACATCGAGCGGCCAAAGGAAATCCGCACCGCATCCGTGAGCACGCGCGTGGACACACCTCAGCAGTCCGTCCGACCTAGCTACTCCCGCTCCCACAGCAGCCCAACTCAGTCATCTCTCGACAATCGCCCACGTACTTCTGGTCAGAACAGCCAACGTACCCAATCCCGCGGCGGCAGCGTCGCACACTCCCGTAGCGACAGCAGCCTTTCCGTCACGATCCCGCGCCCAAGCACAGCCGGCGGCCCCTTCCAAGGCAAAGCCCTGAACCCCCTGCGCATGTCGCCCGTCACACCGTTCGCCCCCCCAATTTCCTTGCGCCTCGGCCGCCTGTCGGAAAACGACTCAAGAAGCGAGGCGAGTATCAACCTCACGCGTCTGCCGACGTCGAGAAGGGCGCCGCGCACGCCAGTCAGCACCAAGCCGTTGCCGCTCACGCCGTTCCCAGTCGGCAGTGGGGATTGGACGCAGATGCTGACTGCGATTCCGCGGCCTGAGATGCCGAGGGTGGATGCGCAGAGGCCGGAGCGAGCAGCGGACGCCTGACTATTGAGCATTTACTCCAAGTACGACTATGTTCGGTCGGACAAGAGTACTAAGTCTGCGCGGTCGTCGTGCTGAGCTGCATCGCGCTCGCTGTCACGAGTCCTGACAGGTGTGTACCAGCAGCAACATCCTGCGAGGTCGTTGCGGATGCCATGAAAGCTCTGGCATCTTGAGCCAGCGCGCACACTACGGCCAGCACAAACCAACGAGTCAAGTGGCACGCAGCGCGTCTTGACCTGCCACATCTCAAGGTTCATGACAGCCTTCCGGCATCCCGGACATTTACGCATCTCATCTCCTATGTCATTACGAAGGATGAACAGGGCACGCATAGACGGGAACAACAACGATACCCCAGATCTGATGTTTTACGTTCGTTTAGCGGTTTTCATCCAAGGCGTTGCTGGCGTCTTTGCAATCTTGTACGAGTCATGATTGTTTTGCAGCCGCTTTTCTTTCAGTGCAGATGACGGGGGTCGGTCGAAGTAATGTCGGTAATGCAGCGTAGTCAGCGATGCAGTAATGATCATGACGACTTTGAATCATATGACAAATACAAATATCCCCAATTAAAAGTGATGAATCGTAATATTGGGAGGCTCTGGATCCTCCCAATATATTATGTACACTGCGAGATGCTCCAAACGCCAGACTAAACGTGAACGCTGATACAAGACTGCTCATCTGAACTTGCTCCAGATGACGGCAATGATAAGCAGGACCAAGACGGTGATGATCGCAATGGTGATGATGCGATTCGTGGCCATCCTGGAAGCGTTAGCACCTGCAAGTCCTCAACCAAAAGGCATCCATCTGCGCGCAGCATCAACAGCTGACCGTCGCTCATAGAACGCGGCAGGATACATACCTTCGTGCCATGCCCCGCAGTGTCTTGATGCTCCTGTCCGTGTAGCTCTCCGACTCCAGCAGGCGCTCTCGCGTGTGCTCAATCGTCTCCCGTTGTCTGTGCAGGTCGCTCAGCGTCCCCGCGCCAATCTGCTCCGTCTCCAGCGCTATCCTCTGGCTCTCCCTCAGGCGCCCAGAACTCCTGTTCAGTCTGTCCGTGCCCGAGAGCAGTTGCTGGCGCTGCTCGAGCTGCGCATCGCCCTGCTCGGGATCATCGGTGTATCGGTTGCCGAACAGCTTGGCCTTGTCGTTAGTGTACTGCTGCAGTTTGCGCTTTGTGGCGTCGAGGTCGGATTCGAAGTTGCGGAATTTGGCGTTGTATTTCGACTTGAGATTTACGGGGATGTTAGACTTCTCGAGACGCATCTGGCCAATCTGCAGCAGTGTCGATTAGCACGGGTCCATGCATATTGCCTGCAGCGTTGCGCCGCCGTGGTTGCTATTGCCTAGGCTTCAACATACCAACTCGCCGGCCTCTTCCAGCGCACGCTCTGCTCTGCTGATGGCTGCTTTGCGCGGCTCGCCGGTTGTCTCTTTGATCTGCTCGATTTGCTGCGACAGGTCGGCTTGCACGAGCTTCAGCTCAGCTTCGTAGCCGCCGAAGCGCTCGGTGCCTGCTTCTGCGTCGATGAGATTGGACATGGTCGCGACAAAAGCGATATCTAATCGAGCGTGCGGGCTGTGTGTTCTGCGTCGTGGAAGCTCAAGTATGGATGTATGGGCGCAGCAGCGTTGTGTCGCTGTTAACTTGCGGTGGTCGGAGATGGCGATGATGCACTGCCAAGGCAAGGGTGTCCTTGTCCGTCACGTGGAGAACCTTCTGCACCTCCAGGGTTTCGTCTTGCGAGTGACTTCTGATGCCAAAGTTGCTGCCTGAGTGTCAACGTGGGTAACGAGCCCAGACGTAAAGACTGTCGACTTGGCCTCGCTGCTGCCTTCGAAGCATCGCCTGTCCGCAGTGTCGAGAGACTGAACTCTGACACGCTGAAACTTGGCCAACGACTTTAGTTTCGCAACTGCACGCCATCTCAGCAGCGGCTATGCAGCTGTATTCAAATTGGTCACACGATTTGTAGGACAACTACAGCCCTTCCATACTATTCATTCGGCAAACTGTAGCCTAGCGTTCAATGCGAGTGGGCCCTCCGTTGACGTAGGTACCTCCAATCGACAGCTGCTTTCGCGGAGCCGCACTATAAAGTAACTTCGGTGTCTTGCGACTGTTGGGAGCGAACGACTCGAGGGCGCACTTTACTAACATTGCCAAACGTGCTGGAGTCGGCCGTGTACTAGCTGAAACCGAATTCGCTTGCTAGTCAATGACATCAACACTTGCATTCTTTGCAGCCATGAGCTTTCTTGACAATCTGCTGGCTATCTGCCACTTCCCGGACACATACATTAGTGTGCTTGTATAGTCGCCACTCGAGGCTAATAGTAGAACTCGTCATAAGAGATGGAAAGAAAGCGCATAGCGATTGTCGGCAGCGGCGTTTCCGGCATCAGCGCATTATGGACACTCCGCAACGCCGGACATGAAGTGCATCTGTTTGAAGCAGCAGATCGTTTGGGAGGTCACGCAAACACAGTCCCATGGACATTCAACGGCGTCGATACGCCCGTCGATACCGGCTTCATTGTGCTCAATGCAGCGACATACCGTACGTCTACTTGGAACCAGGCATTTGCCACCATAGCCGCTGGTGACTGACCCAGTCATAGCGAACTTTATCCAGTTTCTCAAAGCTTTGAATGTCGAGACCGACATGTCAGAGATGACCTTTGGCATCTCGCGGGATGCAGGCGCGTTCGAATGGTCAGGCACATCACTCGGCGCGCTTTTCGCACAGTCGTCCAATGCCCTCAAGCCTTCCTTCTGGCGCATGATCTTCGACATTGTCCGCTTTAATCAGTTCGCGCTAGATCTTCTTTCGATACCTCCAGGGTCGGCTGCTGCGGCTAAAGCCAACCAGGAGAGCATCGGCCAATACCTGGAGCGAAACGGCTACTCCGACGCATTCCGCGACGACTACTTGATTCCAATGACCGCCTGCGTGTGGAGCACTGGAGCCGACAAGTGCGCCCTAGAGTTCCCCGCCCTCACACTCATCCGATTCATGTGGAATCACCACCTGCTAACGACAGTGAGCGAGCGACCACCATGGCTGACTGTCCACGGCGGTTCGAAGAACTACATCGATGCTGTCATGCGAGAATGCAAGGACGTGCACCTCCACCTTAGCACACCTGTTACATCCCTTCAACGCAAAGACGGTCGCGTGCGCATATCCCTCGACGGCAAAGCCGGCTCCATAGAGGAGACATTCGACACCGTAATCCTCGCGTGCCACGGCGACCAAGCCCGCGGCATCCTCGGCCCGTCCGCTACCCTCGAGGAAAGCGACATCCTTGACGCCTTCGAGACAACACCCAATACCGCTTATCTGCACTCCGACCTCTCGCTCATGCCCAAGCGCCGTAGCGCATGGTCCGCGTGGAACTACCTGACCACAACAACACCCTCGTCCGTCGCCTCGACCTCCAATCCCTCCGGCAACCTCCAGACAGTGTCCTTGACGTACAACATGAACATCCTCCAGCACATCCCCGTAGAAACTTTTGACAACGTCCTCGTCACACTCAACCCAGAGAACCCACCCGACCCGACACTCACACAGGCCACGTACTCATACCGCCACCCACTGTACAACAGTGCCATGGTTGCCGCGCAAGAAGAACTGCATCGCATCCAGGGCAAGAACGGGGTGTGGTACGCAGGCGCATGGACGGGGTACGGGTTCCACGAGGACGGGTTCAGTAGCGGGATGAGGGTGGGGTTGAAACTGGGCGGGGGCGTGCCGTGGGAGGTGCGGGATGCGAAGTTTAGTCGCGGTATGAAGCCGGAGTTGGAGTGGAAGGATCACGCAGTTAGGATCGTGGTTACTTTCGTACAACTCTGGATCAGTGTGCTTGAGCGAGTGCTTGGTGTCGAGAGGCAGAGCACGGCAAGTGTTGGGCATGGCACGGTCGATGGTAAGGCGAAAGCTGCGTAGACATGTACTCGTGATAGACGACCTCAGATGACGCCGGATATCGGGGGAGCATTTATTGAGCTGTCGTGGCGCTCTCCTTTGCAGATGCTACATCGCTGATAGACCGAGTGACTGCTAATGTGCGGTATTAAAGGCGACAAACGTACATAGGTGAAGACTCAAAAGGGAAGAAAGCCCCTGCACAGGTACGACCCAGGAGGCTGCGGCAGAGAAGAACGCAGCGACACGAGCGGCGAGAACGAAGCTGACCAAGCACAACAAGAAGGACAGAGTTGCAGCACTGAGTACCGGAAGCAAGAGATGATATGCCGTTATCGGCTTCTTGCTGCATAAGGCTTGATAAACGATGGTGACCTGTCGACGTTGAAGGCAGGAGGTGTAGACTTGCGTGTGGTATATTAGTATCACCGACCATCAAATCATGATTGCGGTGTACCCCATGACCAAGCCTATCCTGAGGGCCTGTTGAACGGTGTCTACCCGATACGAAGGGCCATCGTTCATTATTGTCGACGGTGGTGAGAGGGGCGGACGATTCACGGCCGACGCTCCGATCGGTGCTTTCCTTTGTCAGCAGCTTTGTAATCCACTCGTACTGCAGCACCAAAACACTCAACGTGTCGCACAGGCAGGCCTAATATCGAAGACAAATGCCCCATGCCGGCATGTTGGACCGCAAATCGAGCAATGTGAGCGCTTTGTGAAGATGCGAGCTACGTGCCGCTGGTCAGCTTACTCAGGAGACAACATGAGGTTAGACCGAACGGGAGATATACCTTCCGGTTGGGTACTCAATTAGTAATACTCTTACAGCTCCACTTGATGTTCGGCTTTTGTGGATGTGCGAGGCTGTACAACGGGCAATTGTGTGCGGGGCACGATCAAGTGGGGTGGGTAATCATGACATAGCAGTAAGTACGGGAGAGAGAAGGCCTGGGAGAGGAGGCACTGCTATATATGCAGGTTCCCCCAGCATTCAAGTGACTGTTAAGCCTATTCCGAGCAACTTCAAAACTCAAGTCCAGACCAAATACACCACTCCTCCAATTAAACACAGGCCTCAGCATGTCTTCCAACGCCGTCCCCAAGCCCATCACCATCTACGGCAAACACGGCCCCAACCCGCCCAAAGTGCGCATGCTCTGCGAGGAGATCGGCCTACCCTACAACCTGCAAGACACACCATTCCCAGACCTGAAGAAACCCGAGTTCCTGGCCATCAACCCCAACGGCCGCATGCCCGCAATCCACGACCCAAACACAAACCTCACACTCTGGGAATCCGGCGCCATCCTCGAGTACCTGGTCGAGAAGTACGACACGGAGCACAAGGTATCGTTCCCAGCTGGGAGCAACGAAGCGCAGCACGCGCGCCAGTGGCTCTTCTTTCAGGTCTCGGGTCAGGGCCCGTACTACGGGCAGGCGGTGTGGTTTACCAAGTACCATCCCGAGCAGATCGAGAGCGCGAAGGAACGGTATTATCGCGAGATTGAGCGGGTTACGAGTGTGCTGGATGGCCATCTGAAGAAGCAGGACAAGGGCGCTGATGGGCCGTGGTTGGTGGGAGGGAAATTTTCGTATGCTGATTTGGCGTTTGTGCCGTGGCAGCTTATGACGGCGTTGATAGGAGATAAGGTTGATGTCTCAAAGTATATGGCAGTGCAGGGGTGGATGGAGAGGTTGAAGGAGAGGAGCGCGATGGGGAAGATTGTTGCGGAGCTTCCAGGTGCGAGCTAGAGTGTAGGATTGGCAAGCGTTCAGGACACGGTCACGAAGGCAGGCATTTGTGTAGAACATGGATCAGCAATTGAGAGAAGTGGATGACTTCACCCTTCCAGATTAGACTTTCCCCCCAGTCGCCTCATGCTGCTCCTTTAAATCCGCAAATGTCTCCGCCTTCTTGCCAAACACCAGACCAAATGCTAGATCCTGCGCCCATCTTGGCCAGCTCCGGATCCCCATGTACCTCTCCTGATCCTTCGGGACACAGATTCTACCGCTCCTGCCCGCCAGAACCTGCTCGACGACAACATCACTAACCCTCGTTGGCGGGTCAGGCACGATGCCATGCTTGTCGATCAGATCCTTGCCAGCATTCTTCAAGATGCCCGTCTGGTGCCACGATGGGTGAATGGATGAAGTGCAAATTGACCGTCCGTTGGGGTAGTGCGCGAGACATTCGGCGCGCAGTCCTTCTGTGAGGTACAAGGCGCCGATTTTGCTGATGCAGTAGTCGATCAACCCGGGTGCAGAGACGAAAGATGCCATTGAGGCGATGGACACGACATGGCCTTTCTTCTGCTTCAGCATGTCAGGGACAAGCGCTCGGATGAGTGCGAAGTGGCTCATGAGGTTGACCTGCATCAGCCGCTGGCTTTCTATGTTGCTTGTCTGTCAATATTCAGCACATGGCCATCGAAGCATGACCTTCGTTCTGCTGCTCACCTCCAAAATTGTCTTTCCAACACCGATACCAGCGTTATTGATCAGTACGCTCACAACCCCGTGCTCAATTTTGATCTGCTCACACAGTGCCTCCAAGGCTGCTGTGTTGGTGATATCGCACTGATAATAGCTCACACCATGCAGGGCGTGGAGCTCTGCCGGGAATGGACTGATATCGATAGCCACCACTCTCGCATGCTTGCTGAAACTCTTCACCATCTCATACCCAAACCCACTACTCCCACCTGTAATCAACACTAATTCTTCCTTGCTAGGACCGAATTGCCAGTCGGCTCCATTACGGGACAGGGACCAGTTGTTCCAGGCTAAGCGGTTCAGCGCTTGGTTGACGCGACGAAGGACACCTGCAGTGGTCAGGATTTTGAGGATGGTGATCAGGGTCACGAGTCTGGCGACGCCCTTTGGAGTGTTGGTAAAGACCGGGAGTGTTGACTGGAATGGCGCAAGAAGTCTGGCGCGTATGTGTGGAGGACCACGGGTCAGCAAGTATAGCAGGCTGCCGGCCAGGACAGGTTCGCTTGCGGCCTTTGTGAGGCTGGAACAGGCGGTGTAGCTCATGCTGTGGTTGCTGATTTTGATGGGCTTTCCGGGAGACACGATAGGCGATCTAACCAAAGTAAAGGATTGTGAGAAGATGTGCATAGATAGGCCGACGTTTTGACCGGAACTCTGACAGCCGTGGGTTGTTCAAGTGTGCATCAAATTCCCGACACACCGAGGTATGCAATTTGATGATGTCCCCGCAGTGCTGAGGAGGAGCGCTAAGCACCAAGCCGCCCTGATCTGCGGCTCCGTGGCACAATGCGGGGAAGTCGGGAAAGTGGCATTATTGTATGTCTCCACACTTGACAAAACAAGCAATGCCCAGGTATGTGAACAGCATTGCAGGCAAAGCCCGTCGTAATGGTGCTGGTTTGAAGACTGATGACATCACTGACGAATCGAGAAGGTAACCATTTGAACTACATACCCGGCCACCAACCCGAGCGAAGTAGGAAGTAGGCAGATGCCGAGCTTCCTTTATTGGTGCATTACGGTATCGCGCAAATCCTTCCGAATTTCAGCCGTACAGATTTCGAACATGTCACCAAGGCTTCCGAAGATTGTCTAATAACGAGCCTTTCGCAAATGGTGACCGTGAGACGACACTCTGGCGGGCGAGGGGGGATTGACAGTAAACAATCAATTCGACTAGCCCTCCTGAAGCTCTCCATCCTGTCGGCTTCAGCGATCTCCTCGTCTGGATCAGCCATCTCCATCTCGGAGTGTCTGACGAAAGCCGCAAGGAGCGCTCTCAACTCAGCTCTTGCAAAGCGTCCACCAATGCAGCTTCATGGGCCGTGCAGGAATTTCAGAATAGAGCAATCACTGTCTGCTCCACCGCTCATGGTGGCCCAGCCAGTCGTCTTATCTATCCAGCACGTAGGGACGAGCTCTTCGGCATCGTCAACCCACAGCTTCGGGTTGTGATTGATAGCACAAGTACGAAGAAAATTATTTTACGTTTGGGGATAAACTCACCTGCAACAGTCGTGTCACGAAGGGACAGACGAGCCGTGACTGGGATGGTGGGTACAGGTGAAAAACTTTGTTGCAGACTCCGTTGAGGTAAGGCACGCTGTCGAGCAGGCCAGCGACATCGCAGGTAGGGTCAGAAAGAATTTGCGGATCTGGAATTCGCTGCTGGATCTCGGTTTGTGATCGATCTTGGATGGCTGGATTCTTTGAAAGCAGATGAGATGCCTAGGCGAGAGCTGAGGATGTGGTCTCGTGGCCTGCAGCCAAAAATGTCAGAAGCTGGCCGACCAGTTCTCCGTCTGAGAAGTTGTTGCTTCTTATCATGATCGAAAGGATGTCTCGGCTCTCTTCACTCTCTTGCTTCATTTTCGACTTTCGATCCACCACGAAGTCTGTGCAAATCCTCTTCAGGTTACCAGCCATGATCTTGATTCACTTGTTCAATTTTCACGGCAACCTAGGGGCTATTCAGACGGGAATGGCAAGTGACTTTCTCAATGTGGGGGTCATAATCTCTTCATAGTTCTTGAAAAGCTCATTTTCGTTGCTACGCAACGACGCAACGTTACGACCCAAGCCTGCAAGGCCAATGATATCCAGCGTAACTTGCGTCAAGTAGTGACCGATCTCGAGTATCTTCGATGCATTGTCTGCCAAGGAAGATTTGACTGCGTTGCAGAACTCGATCGACTTCGCCCAAAACACTGAATACATTTCCTCGATGTGGCGGAAGTGAAAGGCTGGCATAATCTGTTTGCGATGACGCTTGTGCTCATCAACTTCCGTCATCAACAAGCCATCGCCTAGGAACTTTCGCAAGAAAGCACGCTACCATGGCGGTTTCTCCAATTCGTAACTCTTGTTGACTAGGACGTCTGCAAGGGTTGCAGAATTTGTGACAATGACTCTGCCCGTGTGAAAGAAGCCGAACGTCCGAATGATGCCTTCGTTCGGTGTTGCTTTCATGATGTTGAGATGCAGTTTCCCTGGAGGGTGCTGGAACATGATGATGCCATATCCGACAAGTGGTTTGAACCCTTTAGCTGTCGGTAGATGTCGAAGCGGGCTCAAAAAGAACGGATAGAGGAAGAGCTTGTAGATGCCATAAAGGCCAAAGTTGAGTGCAAGGCACGCCAGAAAGAAGGATGCCAGTGTGCCATCTGCGATGAAATTAGGGAGAAGGCAGAATGCCAGAACTGACTCCGGTACTGCTACCAGAGCTGCGTTTGCAAGTGAGACTTCCATGGTACTGATGTGAAGGCTAATGCAGGGCGAATGTCGCGGCATTAAAGCTTAGATGAAGATCCAACGTCCCAAATATTTTGCAACTTAGCAACGCAGAGTGTGGTGGTGTGACGTACTTTACTGTATGACGTGCACCCAACGATCGGAGTCGACCAACGATCGTTCCGAGCCTTTACGGCAATCACCAAATTGAGGCTGTAGAGCCACATACAATAGTTATTATTGTGAGATGTTTGGGAGAGTATTATATAGATCTATTCGAAAAAGTCTTCAATACAAAGCTACTGGAGTTTTGTGGCAGTGTGGCCACTCCGGGTGGTGATAGTTGGGCGTGGTGGAGGTTTCGCAGGCTTGGGATGACTACGAGCACCCACAGCATGGTGCGCAGACTTCCGTTTGCCTGCAGAAGCTCTTAAGGTTATGTGATTGCCTATTTAGCATAATTTGAGAGCTTTTGCAGCGTCGCGAGCTTCTTCATCCTTACGTCTCTGCTCTTTGCACGCATCAATGGCTGCGCGTTCCTCCGCACGCTCACGCTCACGCACCTCCTTTGCCTTTGCAGCTGCCACACGCTTTTCTTCATTTTGTTTCTTGTTAAGAAGCTTATTAGCAGTAGCTAACTCCTTCATCTTTGTCTTTTTTTTAGCTCCTCCTCTTGCCTCTTGTGGTCTGTAAAAGTTATGTGAGCGCGCGCCTCCCGGAGGGACAAAGGAGACACATCATCGCACCTCTATAATGCTCCTAGTGTTTTTGCAAGTCCAATTGCCTATTAGGTTGCTTCTTACGCTTCCTGGGTCGTCAGGAGTGGTGTGGCAGAACCTACCAAGTATACCGTCAGGATTTACTGGAGATATGCCAGTGGCTATAAGGGCCTTTAACATAAGGTTTTATTCGAATGCGTTTACCCACGCAGGCCAGAATAGGGTATGGAAGTCTAGGCCTTAAGATGCCTCCTCCAGGGAGGTGGTTGTTGAGTTCACAGGTGTAGTTAGAGGAGAGAGGTTTGAAGCAGACTACGTCCAACGGCTGCAGAGTCTAGGTACTGTGAGGAGGAAACACTGCTAAGAAAATCTGTTTCTGGTGACAGTCGTAAATAAAATCTGGCGTTAAACGAATCTTGTGGCCATCCAAAATTAAGAGGTGATGCCTTAACCACGCCTTTTGGCTTAGAGTAATGGTTAAACACCTGCTTAAGCTAAGCTAATCCAACATTGTTGTTTGTCTATCCTGAAGGCGATAGGGCAACATGGATCAAGTGCTTTGCTGTCTGTATATCTGCTACCTATTAGCTCTAGATAGTGGAGTTTTTTTGACGCAAAGATAATGCTAGGGGGAATAGCAGTACCATCTGCGCAAATTGCTGCTAACAGGCTTACCCACTCTCCTGAGCCATCTTGGCGAGCCTGCCTAACCTCTCTCTTCTTATATTGACGCTTTCTAAATACCTGTTATGTTCTACCCATCACTCTAATTGCGAAGCCCTTCTCATCCATATTGTATGTGTTCTCTAGCGCAATGTTATATTAAGTGATTGTCTGCTGCAGAAGCTTAAATTACAACTTGTATTTGTATTGTAACTTAGTGTTGTGGCAACTGGAGTCCATGCTAGTGGCCTAGGTATTACCTAAGACGTGAGCCGATCGCGGTGATAGCGCAGGAAGCACTTGACCCAGCTATTGGAGCAGGGCTGTGAGGCAATAGAGGATGCGAAATTTTGTACTATACGCCTTGTAGGTGGTAAGTGACGCGCTGATAGCTCTTCTTTGTACTTGACTAGATCTAATTCTGGTTGGTTGCTGAGTTTCTGCGCGTTGGGGAGCCTGCACACCTCGGTGCGCGCGGGACAAGGTGTTGCGACCAACACTGTGTTTTTCTGCAAGCTTTGTATAAACAAATTTGTCGCCTGGCTTCAGACTATCAATCTCTGCAAGCGCATCTGGAATTCCTGGCATTGTGGTTAAGTAATTACGCGTTGAAATCTACTGCAAATGTTGTGCCCTGATCGTTGGTTGACTCCGATCGTTGGGTGCACGGACACGGTACCGTGGCCGTGCGGCCGATGAGCCAGTTCAGCCGATGAGCCACCCCAACGAGATATCAGCGATAGAAAAATGAAGCTGTAGAGCCACACTCAAAAGCTATTATCGCGAGAAAAGTTGGTGTATTGCTATACAGAGCCTTGCACTTCAATTGTGCTATTTATATTTGGCTGGTAACCGCGAGTTGCGGCCTCTCGCAGTGATTTTGGGTGGGGGAGACGCAGCTGGCGGTGCAGCGTCAACACGACTTCGAGCAGCCACAACACAACGACGCTTTGTCG